GGAATGATGGCCAAAAGCCTGACATTAAAATCCAAGTTCCAGAGTGAAATTATCATTAAAATGTCAATTTTAGTTGACAGTTGCACTTTTAATTAATTAGTAACTGCTCTACTTATTTCATGACAAGTGGCTTTAACGGAGGATTACAGACATAAGTCTTAAACCTCAGAAATAAAAACTTTTAATGGTTGTAAAGCCTGTAGTTAATAAAAGCTTTAGATATGTTTATGGTCTCGACATGACGTATGTATATAAATACCCCAGATGTGAATTTTGAAGCTATTATTCCCAAGAAAATTTGCTAATCATACCTTATTTTCTGCAGTAAAAATAAAAACACCTGTAAAAAGAAATCGCATTAAAATTTTGTCAATGGAAGCTGAACAATGCTAACTTACTGAAGAACAGTAATCCTTGCTGCATTATATTTACTACTTTTTTAGCATAGAATCACATTTATCTTCTCTAAATGTATGAACCCCACTACACTTGTGTATGAAACCTCATTATCAGTTATAAAAGGGTATCAAACCTCAAGCTGATTGCTGCACAGCACCTAACAGCTTGAGGTTGTGGTTTTGAAGTGTACAAATGGGAGAGAGAAGAGCACAAAATTCCTCAGCAGTCACACATAGCTAAGCCAGAGGGGATAAAGTGGTCAGAAGTAAGGCAGCTGTGCTTTCATGCTGAGTCATGTTCTCTATTCTGGGATTGTGTCCCCTTCCCAGCGTTCAACCCTTGAATATGACAGTCTACTCTTAACTGGCTCAGCGAGGCTACTTGGCCTTCATTAAGCTTGTTATGGTGAGTCAGGATGTTGAAAATGATGTTTTTTCACCTCCCTTTTCTTTTTCTTTTAAAAAAAAACCTTTATTGTAGTTTTTTTTAATCAATTTCACTAGTAAGGATTTTGTCATCCTTTGATCCATCACTCAAAATGCGCAGGCATAAATGTGTCAATTTCATCAATTTCATTACATTAAAAGCTTCTTGAAATGGTCTATGCTTTTCCTGCTGACCTTTGACCCTGGCAACTCCCATCTAACCTCTATACAACTCACTTCTCTCTGGTTTCAAATGAACCTGGACACACACACAAGGACGTACGCACGCATAGACATACGTATACATGACAAATGGCCTAAGAGAGGCAGTCATTAGAGCAATGGAGGCTAAAAGAAAAGGGGGGATGGGCTACTTTCCCCTGTGGCTGTGAGGCTACCACTTTCCTCACAGTCACAGAGGTCAAGCACGAATTAAGACACATCATTTTCGTCAAGGGAGCAGCTCATTTGGTAGTGAGGAAGTGTCATGTTTTTGTGACATACACACTATAGTTTCTGCTGCGCTATCCTTCTGTTGTAGCAATATTGACACCGCTGGCTAGCACCTCATTTAATTTCACACCATTTAACTCATTGGCACACTTATGCATACAGCTGAGGACGTGGAAAAAACGTGATGAAATTTTAATGTCATCCTTTCAGAGTTGGAGCGGGGGCCCTCAGATGACCTGTTTGTCTAAACTCCAACCAAGTGTGCCCCCAACTGTCTAAATTCAGTGAACCTGGGATGATCTGTACCGTATGCGCACTGAGTCACATTTCACTATCATAAACAAGATGCGTGGGTGAGATGGTTTGAGAGCTTCTCATTTCGTGTCTAACGAGTATAAAACTGTTCCAGGCTCAAAGTGTGAGCATGTTTAAAGTCCAGGGAAGTCAGTATAAGCTGACATGAAGCCAACTTTTATTTAGTAAACTTTTACTGTCAGTTTGCCTGTTGAAGTCCGTTTGTCCAGCTGCTGACCCCTCAGCTCATTTGTGCTGCTGACAGACAGCTGGTTCTGACGCTGAACAGAGGTCGGAGTCATCGTGAGGGCAAGCATCACTGTCAGTGCTTCACTAGTCCCCTCTTTTTTTCTTTCTTTACTTCTTGTCTTTATCTGCCTTTGTGATTACTTGTGATCAATCATCTAATCAGTAAGCCTCTTCTTAATTTTTGTTTTCTTCCACTAGAATCCAGTTTTTTTTCTGCTCCAGTTTAGGTTTTCTATCATAGTTTCTCCTTTTTCTTTTCTCTCTTCACTGGGAAGGAACATTGACTTCATTGCCTCCTCATCTATTCTGTCCTTTGATTTACGGCTCAGAGGCAAGATGACAATCTTAGCACCATGTCAAAGTTGCATCTAAAAAACAGAGGAGCGAGGACGCTTGCTGGAAAAGCTATAATTGAGGAAGCGTAGGTGAATCATAGAAGTGTTTTTTTTACCTGTGACACAAGAAAAAAGTTTTTTTTTTTTTTTAATTAACTGTTTCATCAGACTTTCTTTTCCATTTAAGGTACTTTTCCTTCTTCTTCTTCTTTTTCCTTCTTCTTCTTCTAGGGTTACCATAGAAAAAGCGGGTTATCTGCCTCCATCTCAGTCTATCACTAGCGTCCTCTTCTGTCACACCAAATCTTTGCATGTCCTCCTTCACTATATCAATCAATCTCCTCTGAGGTTTTCCTGTTTTTGTACTGCCATGCAGCTTTACTTTAACATCCTTTGTTCCTGTGGCTACAATGTAGCTTGCCATCACCAGTGTGTGAATGTGTGGATGACTGAACGTGTAAAGCGCTTTGAGGTCCATAGGGACCAAGTAAAGCACTATACAAATGCAGGCCATTTACCATTTTTTCCAATATATCCATTACCCCTCTTCTGCATATTGAAGACATGTGTTGCACAAAAACTTCACTGTACTCTGCTGTGGCTTTAAGTACGGTGAAGCAGGCTAAATGTCATATACCCAAGAGCAATGTGGGGTTCTGCATTTCCCATAACTCACAAACTTGTCTGGCGACATTGCTAAAACAGATCAGTAGTACTCAAACTACTCAGACTAGAAATTGGGCAGAAAAAAAGGGCTTCAATAACTGCCTGTCATAAAACCAGTCTGCTTCATAAGCGGGTGGCCCAGTGAGACAAGTTTAAGAGCCAAAAGTGTTGCAGTCCCAGCAGGTCTCACACTTGGCTCAGTTGCATGTGGTTCCTCCTTCTCGTGGCCTTGCAGGCAACAGGCTGCGTGGCCTTGCACAGCTCACTGACCCTTTTTGGATGGTTTCTCCCTTTTTTTTTCATAACCGTTTTCACCATTTCTTTTATTATAGCAATGGGATCAGAAAAAATCTGATAAAAGGAGAATGTTTGTTTATGGATGTAACTAATCAGAACACTATTTTTACTTTTAGCAGTTACTCTGGTGATTTTTAAATAAAAATCAGACTGCTTACAAAAAAGGCAGAATGAGACATTAGCAGTTCGTTTTATTACATGATGCTACAATCTATCATAAAAAGGGTCTAAGGAGCAGCAGACACATAAGGGAAATGGTCACTTTAATTCCCAGCTACCCAGCTACTGTAGTTAGATCATTTCTCAGGACCATATTTTATTGTTTATTGCCCTTACACAAAAAAGCTCTAAACTCACCCTGCAACTTTCAATGCTTCACACTTAGATTTAATTCAAATATACTGTTCACTAAAAAAAATGTGATAATTTTTCCAAAGGATAAATAATTATGAATGAAATCATGCTTTGAAGATGATATTTTGTGTAGCTGTTCAAGACCAAGTTTAACTCTTGTTGAAAAAATGGACCAATAAGTCTACTTTCATAGAGCACAGCTACTGTACACACATCCACACATGCTCACGGTTTCCCCATTAGTCACCTGTTGTTATGCCCCACCCCTTCTTTCTTATGGACAGCTGGGCTCACAAACTCTGCTTAATGTGCTCAGTGAACCTTGCTTTGACCGAAGCATTGAGTTCATGCAGTCATAAATCCTACAAGTAAAATCTAAATCATCTTGAAGGCTGCTTCCAGGTGATTATAGCATATTGTCTTATTTTTAAATGAATTCATTAGGATGTGTGAACATGCACATGTACAATGACAATAAAGGACTATTCTATTCTATTCTATTCTAGTCATGTGTGCTGACCCTCTATCATTATCTGCTATCAGCAACTAGCAGCTGTTGCTCTAATGCATAGGTGTCAAACTCTGGCCAAATTTGGCCCGCAGCCTAATTACATTTGGCCCGCGAAGCCATACCAAATTACTATTAGAGCTGGCCTACTGGTATTATACAGCTAATATATATATTGTTTAGTATTAAGCTTTGCTTGTTCCATATTCAGCTTTTCAGCAAAACCTGTTTGAGTCCATAAGAAAAGATTCATTCTTATATCTGGAGGAAGATTTTTTTTTTTCAATAAATATTAACGTTAGCCCGCGACTTTGTTCCAGTTTTGAATTTTGGCCCACTGTGTATTTGAGTTTGACACCCCTGCTCTAATGGAAACCAAGAAACCAGTAACTTTAAAATGGTGATAGCTAACTTGGAGGGCATTCATTTTCCTTCCAACTGTTTAGACATACTGAGTTCATGGACACAGAAGGCATCACTTAAAGTAGATCTCATAGCATATTACTGACTGTACTGATGTGTTAAAATGCAACAAGGCTGATAAATAAGTAAATAATAAAATGAATAATTTATGTTCGAATTGAACAACAAAATCTCAGATGTGTTCTGATGTGTTTTGAAGTTACATAAATCTAAAGCCTAATAAATGCTCATCTGTCTCTGTCTTGCTCTTTTATGTCTTTCTTCTCTTTCTGTCCTCTTTCACATCAGAAGAATACATTAACCAGCATCTCACCCCTGAGGATGTGATACTCTCATGCTGCCAACTTTGAATAGGTCTTGCCTTAATGCACAGCTCTTGTGGAGTAGAGTAATGCATTATCTTGTCTAACACTTATTATATCACGCTTCCCCTCCAGTGGATCTATATAGATAATCTAGCATAGCTATTGATATAGTAAACAATAAAGGCCAGCTTAGGTCATACGTTTGCAATGGCTGCATTCAAAATGAATAAAAAAAAATGTAGACTTTCTATTAGCCAAGGAATGATCAGCTACTTTCTTTTTCTGTTCACAGGATAAAGGAATGGGTGGACCAAATGCAAAAAGATTTGATCGCTTTAACAGACACAGCCACTGGCATGCAGGACCTAATAGAGGTAAGACTGCCTGTCATGCATATACGCTAAGTAAGATTTCAAATGTGATTTCTCCCATTTTGTGGATAAAGGGGTGCAACGCTCTTGGTTGATGTTTTTGATCAGAGCAAAGATTTAAGAGCATCCACACAGCCAACATAAAGAGTCCTACTAGTTCTCTGCCTGCTTTTTTTTGATGGGTGATGGAGGCGACACATACGTTTGTGAATGCAGTAACTCAAGAACAAAGCGACAAATACATTTTCACATTCATACAATACTTGTATCTACTAAACATATCAGATGAGTTCAAATCTCAGTGATCTCAACTAGGGGTGGGTTTTTATAATCGATTTATCGATTAAAATCGATTCTGGCTTGGATGACGTAAAATCGATTCATTAAAATCCTGAATCGATTTTTTAATATAAATTTATTTTGCCCGAAATGCCAGAATCTAAAATTTCAACAACCACTAAAATTTCAACAACCACCAAACAACTAAGACAGTAAATGAGAGCAGGAACACGGATTCTGCACAAAGACGTAAACACACAGCGCAACCC